AAGGATGTTAGAACAACAGGATATATATACTCCAAACAGAACAAAGCAAAACAAAACAAAAGCCAGAAAATTAAAAAAAAAATCTACATAGACTTTGCATTTTACATACACAGGATACTCCATCCAACAACATACACGCACTGCTTATGTACACAGAGGATATTTTCCAGGATGGACCATATATTAGGCTACAAGTTAAGTCTTAATAAGTTCTAACAGGTGGGTAGTATACAAAGTATCTTCTCTGACCCAGCAGAATGAAGTTACCAATCAAAAAAGTATAACTGGAAAAAAAATCACAGAATTGTGTAAATTAAGCAACACAATGGATCAAAGAAGAAATCATGAAGGAAATTAGGAAATACTGAGTTTAATAGAGAAGAAAACATCTCAAAACTTATGACACATGGCAAAATGAATGCTCGGAGGGAAATTCATAGCTATACATGTTTATGTTAGAAACTAAGAAAGCCAGACACAGTGGCATGTGCCTGTAGTCCCAGCTGCTTGGGAGGCTGAGGCAGGAGGATTGCTTAAACCCAGGAATTAAAAATCAGCCAGGACAACATAGCAAAAATAAAATAAAGGGAGAAAAAAACCAAAAAAGATCTCAAATCAACACCTACACGATACAATTGAAGGAACTAGAAAAAGGACAAACTCACAGCTAGCAGAAGAAAGGAAATTTTTTTAAAAAGTAGAGCAGAGATAAATGAAGTGGATAAAAATTGATAATACCAAGTCATTTCTTTGAAAAGATTGACAAGATTGACAAACCTTTAGCTAAATGAACTAGCAAAAATAGAAGATTCAAATCACAAATCAGAAATGAAAGTGGGGACATCCCCCGGTTACTGAAAAGAACAAAGAGTTACAAGAGAATACTAAGAATTAAATGTCATCAAGTTAGGTAATCAAAATGAAATGTCCCATTACTAAAAACAGAAAATCTACCAAGATTAAATCACAAAGAAACATACAATCTGCATCGACCCACAACTAGTCAGGAGGTGGAACCAGTAGCCAAAAATCTATGTGCAGGCTACGGCTATGGCTCTGTTTGCACAGTGTGTGCTTAATGAGATTCTGGAACTCTGGGTTCAGTGCCCAGCACCAAAAAAAAAAAGAAAAGAAAAGAAAAGAAAATCTATCTCAGCCAGATGACTTCACTAGTAAACATTTAAAGATTTTAAGAACTGATACCAATCTTCTTCAAGCTTTTCCAAAAAATTGAAGAGGGAAGAACACTTCTGATTCATTCCATAAGGCTTACCTTAATATCAAAACCATACGTAGACAGTACAAGAAAACAACAGACCAGTATCTCTTAGGAACAATAATTTAAAAAAAAAAAAAACCTCCACCATCAAATACTGGCAATCAAATTCAGCAGCATATTACAAGATCAGTTGGGATTGGTTCAATAACACAAGGATGGTTCAATAAATGAAAATCCATTGATATAATATGCCATACTAATAGAATGAAGAGAAAAAATATGATAATCTCAATTGGTATAGTAAAATCATCTGACAAATTCAATATCCAGTCAGGCACATGCCTGTAATCCTAGTACTCTGGGAGGCTGAGGCAGAACGATTTCAAGTTCAAACCCAGCCTGGGCAATTTAGTGTCTCAAAATAAAAAATAAAACAGCACTGAGGATGTATCAGTGCAAAGGCCCTGGGTTTAGTCCCAAGTACAGACATTCCAAAAGGTTAAATAAATCACCTAGGTCAGAGAGACACAAATCTTGTTTACCCAGGCATTTTCTATTTCGTCATGCTGTGTCTAAAACAATGCTAAAAAAAAAGTTTCTTTTTGAAAGGAGGCAGGAGAAAGAAAGAGACAGAGACAGAAACAGACAGTGAAAGAGATAAAGAGAAAATAATGAAAGGGGAGAGAAAAGAAAAAGGAAATAAGGAATGGAGCGAAACTACTTCAACATCTGAAGCATCAGTAGCAGGCATCATCTCAATGGGGAAAGGCTGAAAGCTTTTCCTCTAAGGTCAGAAATGAGCACAAATACCCACTTTCTCCCTTTTTTTTTAGTATATTTTCATGATACTTAATAAATACCTCCGTTGTGGGGACAGGATGTACAGTTTTGCCACTTTTGTTCCGCTCAGTAGGAAGTCCCAACCAGAGGCAAGACAAAGTACAAGGCATCCAAATTGAAAAGGAAGATGTAAAACGATCTCTTTCACAGATATGACATGATTTGAAGAAAACCCTAAAGATCTCACAAACATACACACACACCACATACAACACACACATACAATGTTAGAACTAGTAAATGAATTTGGTAAAGAAGCCAGACACAAAGGCAACACACAAATCACTTTCATCTCTAAACACCAACAATGATTAACAAACTGAAAAGGAGATTGAGAAAATTCCATTTATGATAGCACCAAAGAGAATAAAATATGAATTAAGAAAAGAGAAAGATTTGTACAATGAAAACCATAAAGCATTGTTGAAAAATTTAAAAAGACATAAATAAAACACATCTCATGGATTAGGAGAGTAAATATTATTAATGCTGTTCATTTTGATAACATTGATCTATAGGTTCAATGCAATCCTTCATCAAAATTCAGCACTAGAAAAGCCCATCCTAAAATCCACATGGCATCTAAAGGACGTGGAATAGCCACAACAATCTCAAAAAGGAAAAGCTAGATGGCTCATACTTCCTGATTTCAAAACATAGTACAAAACGATGGTAATCAAAAAGGTATAGCACTGGCATGAAGACAGACTTCTAAACTAATGGAGTAGAATAAACAGTCTGAAAATAATCTCTTGCATGCATAATGAAATAATTTTTATTACAAGGGTAGCAAGCCCATTCAGTGGGGTAAAGGATGAACTTTTCAACAAATGTGCTAGGAAAACTGGACATCGCCAAGTCAAAGGGTGAAGTCAGACTATTACCTAACCCCACATGCAAAGATTAACTCAGAATGGATCAAAGACCTGAAACAATAAAAGCTCTTAGAATGAAACATAGGGCAAAATCTTTACAACACTGGAGTTGGCAAATAGTTTCACAAATGAATTTAATCAAAAATGGAAAAAAAGATAGCAGTCTTATACAAACCCTTTCAGAAAACCAGGAAGGGAACTCTTACAGCTTCACTTTATAAGATTTGCAAAACCCCAATACCAAACCTTGACGCAGGCAAGGAAAATTACAAACAAATCTTGGCAAAGTTATGTTTTAAAAAAGAATAATAACGACATCATGACTAAGTGGGGTTTATCCAGGAATGCAAAGTTGGCTTAATAACTGAAAATCAGTTCACGTCATTCATGACATTAAAGAGTACGCATGCAGGTGCAGGCACTTGGAAGTTCATCATTGTACATTTTAGATCTGTGCCTTTCACTGGGTGTAAAATTTGCCTTACCTACTTAAAAAAAAAAAAAAAAGAAAAGGAAACAGAAAAGCAATGAGGTACCTTAATTCTAGCCCACACACCAAAACAGACTGTTTCTGTTCAGGCCCCTCCTCCTTTGTGACCACCCCATGATATCCTCATCACAGAGGGACACATCGTGCTCTACGCTAATGCAGTAGACGTCCACTCAATCCAAAAGCAGTTTTAGATCATTAGAATGCAAATTGTAAGAGAGGGGTAGGAATGAACACAGATCCCTGTTTCACCCTCTTCACAATTTCCTTCTGTGTGCTGAGAGCCCAGGGCTCCCCGCCCTGTCTCTCCTGGGAGTCTGGTGGCGCCTCTGAAGAACAGGCCTCCGCTGGGTATTGTAATTTCTGTCTGATGGTGAGAGCTTTAAACAGCCCTATTACTTCATGGTAACATTTATGATTCCAACACTGTGATGCCAACGGCTTTCTGGCAGTGTTATTACTTCTGAAATTAACTCAGCCTGGAGGTCCCATACCTCTTAGATAATGTAATGTAAGGACTCTAATCTCAGAACTTTTCATCTGAAACCATAGCAAATATCAAACTGTTTTGTCTTAGGGTTTAGAGCAACAAAGATTCTTGTGACATTTTTAATATCCCTTGAGTTATAAATTCAGAGAACTTGCTTTTGATGCCACATTTTCTTCGGGATCATTGATTTATGCTCGGAGAAAATCATTTTTGTTTTTTATTATGTAACTCTTTGGAAATTTCCAACATTCAATAACTAAATCAAAATAGAATCTGTATCAGGTCCTAGATTTTGCATTCCCCCCCCCATTCATTCATTAAGAAAATGTGAGAGCTCCTACTGAGTGGAAATTAGCTAAGCACTTCAAAACAACACATGTTAAAGGGCTGAAGTGTAAATTTAAAGAACTTAGAACTAGTGGAGGAAATAGAACACGTATGTAACAACTGCCATCTACGGCAGGATGAGAGAGATATCAGAATTCTCCAAATCCTGCCCAGCTTGGAAGGTCAAGGGAGTTTCATAATCAAGACAGCATTTAGTTTGGGTCTTTAAAAGCTGAGAAGTATTTAATACAGGGGCTGAGGTAGAGGGGCCTTGCTTGTGGAGAGCCAGGGCTGGAAATGAAAGGAATGAGTCTGCATTCAGGCCACAGCAGGCAGCCACCGGGAGAGTCCAAGGACCACCCCGATCCAATATGATATTTCTAAAATATACATTTAAGGCAATCACAGAGCGAACCGAGAAGCAGAGAGACTGCTGTTTGCTAAGTAGACCTCTGAAGTCTATTTTCTGAAACAGTTTATTGTCAAGTAAATTACACTTTAAGGCATCTGGAGGCCTCTATTGCTCCGTCAGCCAAACTGGCCCCGGGTGAAGGGAGCAGAACAGATCACAAGAGCGCTGTGCTTGCTGGAAATTCAGTAGGAAGAACTGTTTCGGCTTTGGTGGGTCCGGAGAGCTATGCCAGGCCCTTATGCCCAGCCTGGGGGGTAGCACTGTCACGGGCGCTGTGAGCAACTCAGAGGGGAGCAGTCCACGTGCCCTGCGGGAGGCCGTCGTGAGTGCCCCAGGGCCCCACTCACCGGTGATGAAGAAGGCCTTGTACTGCTCCAGGCGGACGGCCTGCAGGGCTCCGTACTGCCCAGCCGCCCCGCTGTTGGGGTGGAACAGCACCTGAGGAAGGTAGGCCCGCGCATCAGAACACCATGCTAAATGCCCCCTGCAAAGCACTGCTGTGCTGGTCACGCTCCCCCCCCCCCACCGCAGTGCCCCGGTTCTTCCTGTCCCCACGCTACACACTGCCAGGCCCACTTGAAGCTCACCCTGGCCAACCTCTGGACTCCTCTGGGGAATGGAATATCAGCTGGGTTGATCAGACACATATGCACAATATTGCTCTGTAACTGGCAGGGGCTAATACAAAATGAAAGGCAGGAGCCGGGCGTAGTGGTGCACGCCTGTAGTCCCCAGCATTTGGGAGGCTGAGGCAGGAGCATCGTCCTGAGTTCGAGGCTACATAGTGAGTTCAAGGCCAGCCTGCACTATATAGTGAAGCCCTGTCTCAAAATATCAGGGAAACCTTGTTCACATATTTTAAATTTCAAAACAGACAGAGTTTTAAAGCAAGCTCAGAGGCCTTTAAGGGTCGGGCTGCATGGCTACATGTCTCACACTCAGGTGGCTTCTCTGAGCCCCACCCCTGAGGTGAAGGGACTTGCATGCAAGTATCCTCGCGGATTCTGATGCAGCCCATCCTCAGATCTCTTTGGAAAATGGCTCCTTCAGGAGGCTGAGGCAGGATTGCATGTTCACAGCCTGGGAAACAGTGACTTAGCGAGATCCTCCTCAAAATAAGAAAATCGTTTAAAGGGCTAGCAGTTTAGCTCAGTGCAAAGGTCCTGGCTTCTGTCTGCCATACCTCAAAACAAGAGGGAAGCAGAAAGAGAGAGGGGAAGGAAGGAAGGAAGGGAAGAAAGAAGGAAAGGAGGGAAGGAGGGAGGGAGGGAAGGAGGGAGGGAAGGAGGAGAAGCATGAAAGAAAACAAGCAAGAAGCCTCTTTCAGCCTCAAGTCAATTTTCCAAATTTCCCTGGAGCAAATATGATATTAAAAAAATTCTCAATTTCTCCAGCCCCGAGCACACCTAGCCTCTAGACCTGTGATTTTTCTTTTTCAGTGCTGGGGATTGAACCGAGGGCCTCACATGTGCTAGGCAAGTGCCCAGCCACCCAGCCACCCCACCCACCCTCTACCCAACTTCTGAACACAGATGCCAGCACCTCTGACTCAATGCTCCTGTACTTGAACTGAGGAAATCTTTCCTCATCCAGCCCCAGATGAAAGAATCACCCTAAAGAATGGAAACATCTCATTCAGAGTTCCCAGGAGAAGTCTGGTAGAAAATAACAGGTCAGCGTCTTTGGTACGTCGGTAGGCCTGGGCTGGACCCATGAGAGTGCCCTGGTATGAATCATGACTGTATATATCGCTGGGAAGACACTTGGGTGATTCAGAGTTTCCATGAGGCTTGAAAAAAAAAATGAGAAACATCTGTTGCAGCAGTAAACAGCTGTCCCCCAAGTTTCACAGCCCTGAGAGGATGCTGCCCAGGGCAGGGCTCCCCCGCACCTGCTATTCTGGTCCTCTTTCGTGTCAGCCTCTGCAGGATGACAGCGGGCTCCTTCCAAACAGGAAAGGAAGCTCTTGCTTCCTCCACCCTGTCCAACGCCAAGCCTCGCTCACCGCAGGAAACCACTCCGAGTCTCTGCAATGCCCGAAGGGAGACGGAGGGCAACCTAGTGGCAGCGGATTTAGGATGCACTCAGACCTCCAGAAGGTGGACGTCAAGGCCGGCGCTTCAAACCAAGGGGAATCTGCTTTGCATTCTCATGAATGGGGATGGATTCTGAGGGACACGTATATGCATTCTTGTCCTTTGAGCAGGGCTGGGGCTCTCTTGTTTATACAAACATAGGAAGAAAGCTGGCACGTTTACCACGAATCACGCCAAAGCTTCTTCCTCTCCAGATGCTTGGTCTGAATTGCAAAGATGACTTTCTGTCCGGCACACGTGTGCCTTCTTGCTCGCCTTACTCACCAGCTCGTTTGCTTTGTGTTTGTTTGTTTATTTGTTTTTATTTTGTGATGCCAGGATTGAACCCAGACCTTTGTACTGAGCTACATCCCCGGCCCTATTTTTACATCTCATTTTGAGGCAAGGTCTTACTGAGTTGCTAAATTGCCCAGGCTGGGCTTGAATTTGAGATCTGATCACCTCAGCTTTGCAGAATTCTGGAAAGACAGGCATCGGCCACACCTGGCTTGTTTTCTCCGTTTTTCATTTTTGTTCTTTTGAGACAGCGCCCTAGCTACGTTGCCCGTCCTCAAACTCCTAGGCTCAAGCAATCCTCCTCGCGCCTCAGCCTCCTCAGCGGCTGGGACTATAGGCACACACCACCATGCCCTGGACTTTTTTTTTTTTTTAAAGCATGAGTGTATTCTAGATCTTGGAGGCCACACCTAGATATCATCCCCAAAAGTAGGCTCTTGCCCTCACCAGGCAGGTGTGCACAGTTCCCAGTCTCCAAAGGGGATGGATGAGGCCATCCGTCTGCGCAAGCCACTCCAGATGACGACCTTCACCACTAGGGGCCTCCCTAAGAGAAGTGATGGCTCTTGCAGACTAAAGCAGCTGTTTCCTTAATGTATGGCCTCTGGGGACATGCCCGCCGCAGCCTCTCTGAGGACTGGGCCAGCCAGGATCGGCCTTTAGGGAAACTTTCTCTTTGTTGCTGATTTTCAATCTTTTTTTTTTTTTTTTTTTTTTTTTTTTTTTTTTTGGTTTTTCTCCGGTACCGGGAACCGAACTCACGACCTTGCATTTGCCAGGCAGGCGCTTTGCCGCTGAGCTAAATCCCCAGCCCCTGTTGCTGATTTTCAGACCGTATCAAGATGGACAGGACTTAATCACTGGTGACACTGCCAACTCCTGTGTCCATCAGGGACTCAAAAAACCACAGGGGGGGACATGTGATTCTGGGCTGTGCATCCCCACACACATACTCCCAGGCTTTTGGTTCTTTCCTTGAAGTTGCGCTCACTGCTAGACAGAGGCCCATCCAGATCAGGATTGGAGCTAGGCATGGTGGCATGTGCCTGTAATTCCAGTACTCTGGGAGGCTGAGGCAGGAGGTTTGCAAATTCAAGTCCAGCCTGGGCAATTTAACAAGACTGTCTCTAAAAAGAAAAAAGCTGGGACTGTAGCTCAGTGTGAAGGTCCTGTGTGTTCCCCAGCACTCATCTCCTGAAATCAGCAATGAGGGGCTGAATATATATCCGCAGCTCTCAGCCAGTGTTGGCTGCTGTGGGTTCTGAGCATTACATACATGTATGTCATGAGGTCATGAGTGTGAGAACTGGTAGCCCGCTGTGTGCCTCACACCTCCCCACCTGGTAGCTGAGGTTGCTCACCTCTTCGATCCTTGGTTATAGAAAAGAAACTGATTGCTAGAAGCATCTGCATACATAGAAGTTGGGGCTAACCAGCTAGGTAGTACTTTGAGCTTTAGAAACTGGAGTAGTTTTCTCAACCACCCCATACTGGATAATTTATAAGCGCAGGTCATATTGGTAGGTGAATACAAAATGTGTTTACTAAGAAATACGTATGTATTACATACATGTATGGGTGTGCGTAAGGACGGGGAGATATACATCTATTCGCATTTTACCTGCCACCTCCTCTAAAAAGCTATTCTAAGTTCAAGACAACTTGATCTCTTTAATCCTATTAGTTCATTTCAGTAGACTGACCAGAGAAGACCAAATCCAAATTCCTGGCTAGCAACTCCCCATGTCGTCCTCAAACCCCGAAGAATTTTGTCTCGGGGGCCTTCGCCAACACCAGCGGAATCTGCTGCTCCGTGAGGCTGGGTGTGGTGCACAGGTGCGGGACCCCGTGCCTTTAGCCTTGAAGATACTATCAGCAGCTTCCTGCAGGCGGCAAGCTGTTTGTTTCTTTCTGGGCGACAGGGTGTGGTTAGGGAGCAAATCAGTCCTCACGGCAGCTGCATTACCGCACATCACGGTCCCCACGACGAAGTCGAGACTTGCATTTGCTGCTCCGACCCAGTTCCTGGGCCTAGCTCCCGGGCAGGAGCTGGGATGCGCCTGTACTCCTCACACAAAGCCGCAATTAGAGGAAGAGTGTGCGCGCTCCCCCTGGGAACGGAAGTGAGCGCGCGCAGGAGCTGGCGTCCACAGGCAGAACGACCCACGTCAAGGAGACCACAGTCCTTGAAGCACTTCCTGGTGACCCCGATTATTCTATTAGTAGCCATGGCAATAAACATTCAAGAGCACCTTTCCACTGACGTCTTGGATAACCCCTCAGGGTCACACACTGCTAACTTCCAGGCTAAAGGCGGAAACCATTTTCCTGCTTTGCTCAGTTCAGAAGGGCCAGGCCTGGAGGGGTCTGCAACTCTGGAAAAGCAGCTATTCCAGGGAGAGGCGAGATCTCTTCAGAAGGCCTGACTACCCCTCTGACTACCCCTGAAGACCACGGTAACGTCCACAGATGCAGCGAGGACCCGTATGCTGTGGGCTGGGGGACGCTGGGAGGCAAGCGCAGTGTCAACGGCCACCAGCCAAGGTGAACTTGAGTACATCTGAGTCACTTCCACCTGACCCTCAGAGATATAAATAGACCCTTTGAAACGTGGGTCCCCAACTGGGAATCTTGTGCAGGGGGCTCCGAGCTTTTCGGCCCCCTTCTCTCCTCCCACTTCCGCTTCCTTTCGGTGAAAGGAAGACACATGGGAATGAGAGGGAAAGGCCACCAAGACCGACGTTTCCTGGCTGCTGTTGCTGCAGAGTGCTTCCGAAACACACTGAAGAGGGGGAAGCGAAGCGGTGACGCTGGGAAATGAAGCCCAAAGCCATTGCCAGGGCTGTTTGGTCAGGAACAGGCTGCAGAAAGGGTGCTGAGCCTTCCTGGGAGTATTGGGAGCATAAAGGACCAAGCAGGCTCTGCTGTCCGAAAAGGCCTTCACTCATTCATTCATTCTTCATTCATTCATTCATCTGCTGCAATTGAATGCATGCACTGAACAGGTGCCTCGGGGGTGGACCCAACAGCTATCCCTGCCCTCTGGAAACTTCGGCTCCAGCAGGGGAGCCCCATAGTAAACAAGTCACAGACACTGATCAGACATGGCATCCAGCAAAGAAAAAATCGTGTTACCCTGTGTCACAAAACGGAATACGTGCCCGCAAAAAAAGCATTGATTATAGAGACTAAGCAACCACACACCCTTACCCTATGCCAAATTACTGAATGGAAATCTGGACTAACAAACTGCATGGTTGATGGGACAGGGGTGTGAGAGAGTCAAAGGACTTCTCCCTCAGGGTTTCTCACATAGGGTTTCAGCAGCGTTCAAAGAATGGGAGTGGTGGTTATATCTGCCCAAAGGCAGCCAGGCGCTGCATGAGATACCACAGTCCAGCCTTCTGCAGAGCCCGGGTGAGGCACAGGCTTCCTCCACTCACCCTATGTCCCTTCTGCGACTTGTCCAAGAGCACACTGGAGACATCCAACCCATCGAAGTGCCGATCTTGGGGCAAGCTGGCTCCGGCCAGGGCCACTACAGTGGGGAAGATATCCAGCACACTGAAGAAAAAACAAGACACAGTTGGTCTCAGCTCTTCTGACCCCTCCCTGGCCCTGCCACGTCAAAAACCATCCACGCTAGCCTAAGGCAAATACTGACAACCACCTACGGTGACATTCACTACCTGCCTGGCTCTCCTTCGGTTCCACCTGGATTTCTGCTATGAGAGGAAGACTGGTATACAGTTCATTTCCCAGGCTCTGCCACCAAGTGTTGCCTGGTTCGAATCCCAGTTCTACTACCTATCTAACTCCTCCGTGCCTCAGTTTTCTACCCTGTAAAGTGGACATTTTAATGACAGTATACTCACAGAGTAATTCTGTGGATAAAACATGCAGAAAGGGCACACAGTTGTGTTACAATTCACCAATCTTAGTGCTAAGGGGCTCTGCCTGTCGCCAACTAAGCCACGGCCACTTGCTTAAATAGGGTGTGACAGGTGTCTCCAAGAGAATATTCACTTCATTCTCACCACCCAGCTCTCTGTCTCATAAACATTTAGTCTTTAGTCATGACATGTAACATTTTAGCCATGATGTGTGAAATACTCCACCCCTGGTATTTTCATTCTTCTTGCCGATTACAAAGCAGTGAATGTTTATGGTAGGAAAAAAAAAAATAGAACATCCAGAAATATAAAAGAGCACAACACAGAAATAGTCCATCTCCCCAAGGCAGCCACTGTTCACATTTCGGTGAGTTTTGTTAATGTGATTTTTTAAAAAGTCATGTGGTACAATTTACTCTATCACACAGTACATCTCTCCCTTGGGCTCGCTGGGCTCATGTCGGAAAAAACTCTTCAGCGAGATCAGAGTGGCTGCCCTGTCAACAGCTCTGCTTATCCAAGGGCCGGGCCATCTGAGAGTGATGGGACCTGCTGCAGCCAGAAGGGCTGGGCCAGCACGAAGTTTTTCTCGGGTTAGACGTCCCCAAGCCCTAGGACCCTGGAATCCAGGCCCACGCACGGGCAGGACGCAAGGGCCACAGTCCCCATGTCCCCACACTGAGCAGGGAGGAGGGGCTCCTGCCCCCCAAGGGGACTGCAGAAGGGACCTGTGCTGCAGATGGCTTCTCCTCCTGTCAGCCAGCTCCCTTCCTGTCCAGGCTCTGCCTACAAAAGCAGGCAGAATCTCTCTATTGACTACAGAACTCAGTGTTTCTGTTTGCCTGAAACTTTTGCAGTCCACAACACTGGTGGTTTATCTCTTGAGATTCGCGTCCCGGGAGCTGGCAGCAAAGAAAGAGTCAGGGCATGCTGAGTCAGCACTCGCGGAGTACAGGACAGTCCAGAAACCTGTCCGGAGTCCAAGGTTCCTGCCACAAACTGGGAAGCAAAGAAGACTGCAATGCAGTCTAAAAAGCTTGAGATGCTTTGGGGTTGTTTTCTTCAAATTGCCCTAAGAGCCATCAGCATCTCAAATGGGTCAGCTCAGCAAACAAGAAAAACAGGATCCATCACGTTAGATTTTAGAACGGATTGTGTGCTGCGTTTTTCCATCCGAAGAGAAATCGCCCTCACTGGTGAGTCAAATCAGTAAGCAAGAAAAACAGAAGCTGCAGTACATTTTGGAATGCATTGTGCCCTTTCTTTTTCCATCTTATTTTTTCCCCTCTATCATGAGGTTTAGCACCCTAAATTATACAGTGCAGAATTCCAGTGTCTCAGAGCTTGGCAGGGACCTCAGAGGTACCTAGTCCGTTCAGAGCACAAAGAAAACCTCTCGCCTACGAGAGAGACTTCAGCAGGTCTGGTGACTCACCCTGCTCTAGGCGGGCCGGTCCAACGCCAGCAAGCTCAGACCATCAAAAAGCCCTTCCTCAAGGAAGAGAGAAGCCAAGCCCCTGAGGTTCACCTTGCATGAGGGGATGCTTCCGATACGATCCCGGGCTTGGGCCCCCAGCCTACACCTGAACTTGGAGAGCTTGGACAGCGTATCCACCCTACAAAGCCTACTGAAGATACTCCTTCGGGCTGCTCCAGACCTCAAATTCGATCTAAGAAATTGATTCTGAGAGTCTCTAAAACCTTGGAGAAAGAGAATAAACAAAGCAAAAACAAAACTGTACTTTCAAGTTGTTCATTTCTGATGTTCGGCTTTGTCGCTGCAATTGCTGTTGATTTTTTCAGCACAGGGGATGCAACCCAGGGCCATGCACATGCTAGGCACGTGCTCTACCACTATGCTACCGCCCAGCCCGCTCTCTGGCTTCTGGCAAGGCAATGCTTTGACTTTCATGATCCCTGGGTACAGCTGTTTTATGGGTTTCTTCCTCCATTAAAAAAAGTTAGAAACTACGTTGTATAACAGCATTGACGTAAGTATGAATATATACATAACCTATATTAAACCACACTCTTGCACCTAAAAGTTCGGTATTTTCCCTGGAAATTTTAAAAGGTATTAAAAACTACTTGGGCTCATGGGTCTCACAGGCCCTAGAAAATGCCTCCCAAGGCCAGTGGGGGTGTGGGTCCGGCTCTGACAAGAGGAAACCCCACTTCTGTGGAGCTTTAGTTACGAGAAGGGCAATCATAGAAAGTATGTGCCTTTGGGATATACATATTTGGTTGATATCACTGTGTTGCCCATGCTGGCCTCAAACTCCTGCACTCAAGTGATCCTCCTGCTTCAGCCTCCGGAGTACTTGAGTCTACAGGCACACACCTCTGTGCCTGGCTTATTTGTGTTCTTTTATAAAACTTTTAAAAATATTTGATTACTACATGTTTGTAGTATATAATGCTTACGTTTACCATGACGAGTGGGTACAAGTGCATAACACAGTTTAATTCCTTCTACTCCCCCTTGTTCTACCCTCCTCCCTCTCCCTCTCCCATCTCTTGGTCCTCTTCCCATTTGCAGAAAAGATCTATCTCCTTGTTTCTTTATACTTTGTGTCTCTCATATGAGAAACCGTGCAATATTTTTCTGTGTCTGATTTATCCCACTTAATATTACTGTCTCCAGGTGCATCTATTCTTCTGCAAATGCCTCAAGTTTATCCTTCTTTATGGCGCACTATTGTACCTTTGTATGCAAATACCATTTTCTTTATCGTTCATCGATATGTATGTTCTTATCCAGGGAGTGGCAAAGGAACCTGGGACTGCACAACAGTGAAGAGGATGTAGGAGGGTTCTGCTTATTGGACCCCAAGCTGTGCCAGCTGGGGAGGGGCTTGAGGTGGCTCCCTACCAGTGGAACAGCCCCAAACTCCAGGGATGGATGGATGAGAACTGGGGTGCTGCATCAGGTACTCTTGAGGTACTGGGAGAGCACAGACAGGGAGGGTTTCATCAGATCCAACCTGAGGACAGAAGGTAAGAATTGGGAGGGGTTGCTAGGGAGAGGCTGGAGGTGCGTGGATAGGGCAGAGGGCATGACTCTGCAGCCACCTCTCCAGGGTGAAGGAGCTGAGAGAGGAGCTTCCTCCGGTGCAGAAGCAGGGATTGTCCCTAGGACACAGGAGCAGCTCCTCTTAGCATGACAGCTGTAGTGTCTGCCATCCTCTCATTAGCCCTGAGAAACATGCAGCCTGAGGGTCACACCGCTTCTTGGTCACAGTGGAGTTGCGGAGACTCAAGGGGCCAGCCTGTGTCCACTCGCGGTTCCTCCGCACCCAGCTCCCTCCAGCACCCTTGGATCCCTCTCAGAAGCCAGGGGTCCCACAGCATGGAGGATACCGCATAGCAAGCTGTGCCCGTGCCTTACAGAGTGGAGAGCAGCTGAGGCTCCAGGTGATGGAGAGCGCAGAGGGACTGAACCGCGGCCAGCCCCTGCCCAGGGGTGACACCCGAACCACTGGACACTGATGCAGTGTGTTCTCCTTATAGCTTCTGCTCTGGGACTAGCTGTAAAACTCAACACAGGAGAGGGCCAGCTGAGTCCCCTTTCGGCACAAGGGGCTGTTTTTCTGCTATCGTAAGACAGCGCTGGGAGACCCCAGGGGTTCATCTGCTCTCCTAGCTAAACAGCAGCTTGAGTTGTTTCTGCAATGGAGATTGTTTAACATCCTCTGTTCCATTCCGGTCACTTCATGCTTGTCCTCCCTGTCTAGACAATCGGTTCTCACTCTGACTAGGGATAGGGTCTCCCAGCTGGGACACCAACCAACCCCTCACCCATTTGTGTAAAGCTAAGGGAAACCACCTTACAGCTGTCATCCTTCATGAGGTCTGTTGGTCCTTCTAGTTGACACCTGGCTCTGCCTAGCAACATTCTGGTCCTCACAACTGGTCAGAGAGATGAGGCCAGGGATGCCACCCAACATCCTACCATGCATGGGACGGTCCCCACAATGAGAAGTGACCAGTCCAAAATGCCATCTTTAAGAAATTCTGCTCTAGAGTTGTTGGCTAAAACTGTCAACTTTTTTTCATGTGTGCCCAAACCCTGTCCTCCTGAATGTAACTTCACTCCTAACATCAGGTTTTTGTCTGATTTTCTCACTTCCGGCTCCCCATCACCTGGGGCAATGTTTGATGCATAGCTGGACGCACAGTAAACGGTTGTTAAAGCATGGATTTTCCCTATTCTGCAAATGTTTCCTCAGGCTTTGGGGACAGGTCAAGTGCAAGACCAACCTGTAACCCGAGTGTAGCATTAGGCACACACTCAAATATGAACACTGTTATTCGCTGAAAGATAACCGGAGACTGCACTTGTGTGGATTCTCCAACATATTTCTTTACTTTTCTATGTTCACCAATAAACCTTAATTCTCAGCCATCTTTGGGGGTTATCTTTGACCTGGAAGATCTCTACCCTTTGGGGAATAAAGTACCAGAACAGGTGATAAGCACCTGGGTTCTGGAGAACAGCCAGTTCCTTGAATATGGGTCATAATCCCATTCTCCCCGGAGCTGGCCTGAGGCAATCAAGGGAAAGGGAAAGTCATATAGAAGCCTGCTCAGGCCATCAGGAAGCTCAACTCAACATTGCATCATATGGATTCACATGGAGGAATTGCAGGAGGGTGACTCTATCGAGGCAAAAGTGTTTAGCTACAATCTGAGCTATTAATGCCAACAATATCCTAAGAAGGACACATGTTACCTGTGTCCGGGTAACATTCCAGGACCCCTTGAGCAAATGGTACCATGTGCCAAGAACTCACTTCCTGCGGTCACCAAACTGCCCCGTTAGTCAGCTGTCACCTCTAAGAGCCCTCAATTATGAATAACGTGATACAGTTATATCACTGTGTAGGAGCTGACTGCAGGTGCACATGCCGCCGTCCAATGAAAGGCGACCACTTGGTTTTCAGCGATGTAACTGGAAAGGAGGCTGCCGTGTTATTTGTGTGTGCGCGGCCCAGCCCGTTGGCCCCTCTCAGTAACCACGCTGACTGCACCCAAGTGCGTCCTAGGAAAAGCAGCCTGTTTGGCTTTCATCCCGGCCAACCTGACATCAGAGATTCCAGGCCATGCTGTTGTTGTCACACCTGCTACAGCTGCTGGGAGCAGGCTGCCCCCTCCTGACAGCACAGAGCTGACCTGGAGTTCCTGAGGACCCCCGCAGGCCGCCCGGGATGATGCCTATCCACCCGCTATGCTGACTATCAATGCCGTTTACCCTTTCCTTCCCTTGGGCTCAAGTCTCTCCCCACCGTCCCTGTTGGGTTGGAAGATACCAAGGGTGTCTGCGTGCTGCTTTCTTGCTGTGTCCTTCAAGCCAAAGTCCATCAGCCTAATGGGAAAGAGACTCTAGAACTAGGAAATTGGTCTGTAACTGGGTCAAACCTCTGGACCCAGCAGCCAGCACTGGCTTCTGTGCAGGGTCCCCCTTGTGGGCAGAACCACAGGGAGGAAGTGCCCTTCTGAACTGGTGAGAAGTCCCCATCATAAATCATAGGTCCGTAGCTGCTCGGCACGGCTTTCACACTGACACACCACAGCCACGTTCCGTGCCAAGAGATTGGCCTCCTGCATTGGCCTTAATACAATGGGGAGATTGCTTACAGGGTTCCTTCTGAGAAAGGAAGCACCTAGGCCTTCCCTCTTCATAGACCCTGGATTACAGGAGGCAGGAAGAGTACCCTCACCCAAGGGCTAATTCTTTCCCTACTGGCTCACTGGGATCACCTCCCTTCTTCCCCCTCTCCAGGGCAATTAGGCATCTGGGCTTCTTTGATGGGGACAAACGATGGCCAGTGACATGCTGGCTTCTCATAGCCACACCTAGGACACTGACCCTAAGCCTAAAGGTGGACAGTGGGGGTTCTGATGAGTTATTCCTCCACTGTCAGACCAAGGCCACTGCCTTCCCCTGCCGCAGCTGTCTCTTTGGCACACATAGCCAAGATCCAAGGATGCAGGGCGTGAACCAATTCCATTTCCCCTCACTCAAGCAGTATCCCCAGAGGATGGCTGAGCTGCACTGTACCTTGACTAATTAGCACATGGCACTGCCCCAGGGTAAATCAATGCTGCAGCTTTCAGAGTTCTGGAAGGACCTGGCCAAGGCAGGTGGCAAATGGCTTTCCTGAGATCTCTAGCCACTCAAGTGTCCACCACTATTCTGGCTCTAAACCTCCACATCTCAAGGAAATCCAAGTCTCCTACCTTAACAAGGCAGTGCTCGTGACATTGGCTGGGACTCGGCCGGGCCAGTAAGCCAGTGCTGGGACCCGATGCCCTCCTTCCCACGTGGTCTGCTTGGCTGGACTTCCGCCTGTGAAAAGAAGCAGGTGGTTTATGGACAGTGATGGTTTGAGGCTCCTTTTCAGCTCAGATATACTGTCTGGGAGAACAGTCCCTCTGCAGTGATTCCAATAACCACAGAGATGGGACTGTTTTTAGGGCTAGGGATATGGCTTAGTGGCACAGTGCCTGCCTGGCAAGTGCAAGGTTCTGCGTTCAATTTCTGGTACCAAAAAAAGAGAAAAGATGTGACTATTTTTTAGTAATCAGCTTTCCCCCCAACCAATATCTTTTTTTTTTTTTTTTTTTTGGTATGAGGACTGGAACTTAGGACCTTGCATTTGCCAAGCAGGCGCTGTGCCGCTGAGCTATATCCCCGGCCCCCAACATCTTCCAATAATTCTTAACATGCCATGTTATCCCCTACATAACAATTACGTGGTTGATTTACTGACTTTGTTCTTGCATGTCTCTGCATCCTGGGACCTCATCCATCTTGTGCACACCGGACATGGTAGGTGGGTAGCAAATTTGTGTTGAATAAATGAATTGTGCTCCTCCTGCTCATCCTGTGACTATTTAGGATGAGAAACTACAACGACTTGAAAAGAGAGAAGGGGAGAAACTTCCCCAGCTACTTAATCTGCCCAATGCCCAACCGACCTGGCGTGGATTTTGCTGTTTTATTTAGTTTTGTTTTGCTTTGCTTTGTTTTTCCTCCAATTGATGAGTTGTTCTGAGGCGGAAGAGACGGTGTCAGTAATAGCCCCAACCTCTTGCCTCTTGGCAGGAGGTAAGAATAAACTACATGCAATCTATGAATTTCCACATTAGTAATTAGAGGGGTTATTTTTATAACCACGAAGTCGCAAGTGACCACCAGTATAATGATAACCAGCGGGCTGGAAGAGATGAAGTCATGCTTTATGGAAACATCCTGAATGCATGTTGCACTGAATTAACCATGACCATCCCCACCACTCCCACACACACCCCACCCTCATCCTGGTTGAGCCAGAGGCCAAGGATTCCACAAAGTTCGCGTGTAAAAAGCCTTTTTGGAAAGCGCCGTATGTGGCTCACACACACTGCGGTCATACGACTTCCCCATGTTTGGCTCATGTGAATAATGAAAGCAATTAGGAGGGGAAGCAGAGGGACCGAGGGGAAGGCTTCACCCCTCTGTGCTCACACTGCTGCCGAGGGAACCTTTGATGTCCCTGGCCCGGCACACCACACCGGAAATGCTCAGCATTCTTGGGGCTTTCTCATAACCAGCTTTGGAGTCCCCCAAGTATTGCAGTCAGAAACAAAACACAAAGCAACCCCCGTCCTATGGACTGTTTCTGTTTAAGAATGTGGGGCTGGAGAAGCCAGCTGAAGCCTCTGCAGGCTGGTGGGAAGCTCTCTGATCCAGCTCAGTATTTCCCAAATACAGTCTTCCCATCCATAGCCGCGTCTCCCAGAAATATATAGTCCACTGTAGTTATTCACACACATGCAGCGGAGAATCCAGAACCCCAGGAAGCATACAATGTGTTTCCACGTGGCCTTGGGATGCACGGTTTATGCTGCAGCTTAAGCTCAAACACCAAGGCGGAAGCAACCGCACGTACTGGAGTGCTTCGGCTCACCCTGGCCCCATGGAGGTGTTTTCGTGGACGCGGGGGGTCTGGGTGGATGAGAAGATGAACCTTGTTTGCATCTCCATGGTGCACCGCATTCACATGGGGCTGCTTAACCTTTGAGGCCAGATGCTAAGGAAAAGCCAAGGACTTGGTGCCAAGAAGCAAGCCCCCAGCTCTGACCATGGGCAGCTTCCATGGGTCTGCTCCATTACAGGCAAAAGGACCCAAGATTCCTTCTCTGCCTCCAGGATGTTTCTGGAAGGGTCAACTGGTCCCTGACTAATAAATTTGCTAATTGGTTTTCCATCACTAGGGATCGTCCTTGTTTTCCACAACCTTTCACACAGCCTTTTTGTAGGTGACTGACCTTCGCAATGTGTTTTTCTGAGCAAATGTTTCATTGTGTTTGTCCTCTTTCAAAAGAATGTTGGAGGTTGGTGGGTTTAGGAGGGATTCAGCCAGTTATAACACAGGTGTGTGTCAGCAGCGTGTATGAGATTCAGGGACTGAGAGAAAGAGCGTGGCCAAAGTTCGCCCCGGTGTGGCTTCATAAGGGACAGTCTCCCTCTACACCACCAAGGATGACCAGCTAATCCCGCTGCACCCCAGTGATGGCTTTAACAGAAGGGCACAAGTACCTATTCCAGCTGCACCAGGGATTGCAGGCCCACAGACCTGAACTCCAAAGGAACTTAGCCTCAAAGTCTGGGCTACGGGCAAGCATAAAAACATGTATTTATTACTCCTGACATGTACATTGTGCCACTCCAAACCCCAGTCTCTCTCTAGCAGTGCTCAAAAATCATCTGACTAACAGTCTCTGTCCATCACCAGGGCTCTGGAGACCATCAGCTGCATGTGCTTGTATCTAAGGGGGTTTACTGTGGTTTACCTGCACCAGCCAAAGAGGAAATCCAGAATAACCGTCCCTGGTCCCCCGATACTCCTCCCGCTCCTCCTCAGGGACGTGCATTCTGAGTTAATAACATCTACTAATTTGAGCCCCTACCCAGTACCAAGTTAAATGCTCCTCCCTGCTATATTTCACTGGATGCAAATGATAACACTCTGAGCTAGGCACTACTGCCTTCATTTTTCAGATGAGGAAACCAAAGCTCGGAGTTAAGTAACTGTTTCAAGGTCACACAGGTAGCAAATGGTAGAGTCAGGAATTTGAATCCAGATCCAACTACACCACCAACATACCCACTAAACATCTAGGGCAGTAGTTCTCACTCCTGAGCATGTTAGAATCAATGGGGGAGCCTTTTTAAAAATACCCATTCCTGGGCCAGGGTTGTAGCTCAGCGGCATAAGCGCTTGCCTAGCAAGCCTGAGGTCATGAGTTCGATTTCCGGCACCAAAGAAAGATAAAAAATATCCATTCCAAGTTCCCTTTCCTAGGTATTGGGATTTAACTGGCCTGGCTGGAGCCTAGACATCAATATCTTGGAAAGCTCTCCCAGTGATTTAACATGGAGCTAACCCATCCTGGGCAAGACCAGCAAACACACATGCACTTCAAAACTAGACAGAGCTGACACACATTTTAATCAGTGCTTCAGACTGCCCACACCTTTACACCTTTATGACATAGTATCATGATAGCGACCTAATAAGTTACAGAAGAACAATAGATAAGTCCACAAATGAAACTTCTATGCATTTTTCAAAGCTGAAAGCTGCCTGTTAGTTTAGATAAGCTTTAATACTTTGATCCGTGGCACTAGTACATGAAAAGTGTTAGTTGCATTTGGTTGTCTGTTGAGAAATGCCTATCTTCGGGCCATGAGAATGCATTTCAATGTACTTGTGGTTAGTTATGACTCTAATTAAAGCAGAATCTCTTACTTAAAGCAATAAATATTTAGCCTCAGCAACTAAAATATAAACAGAACCATGATTCATGGATTTGCTTACTTGTTCTTCCCTGGCTACGGACGTGAGATGGCTTCGTGGTGCATCGTGACAAGGGCAGTCCGAGCAGGACTCACCACTGCCCACGCCTTGCTCCAAAGGCCCCGACTGCCCTGACCCGACTGAGTCACAAAGGCGGTGTACACACTTCAGAATCACCAGGCGAGAGCTCACTGAGAATGTGGATGCTGGGGTTGTAGCTCTAGAATATCCAGCTGACTAAGTGTACAATGATACTGGATGGCTCTAATGCCAGTGGTCTGAGAACCAGAGTTTGAGAACTACAAGCAGGGCCACGGGAGGACACCTTCGGAGCCAGGCTGATCTGCCTCCTAACTCCAGCGCCCCGCCGCTCCTAACTCACCATGTGGCCTTGGGCAGAATTTGTAACCTCACTCACCTCAACCCTCTGAGCCATGAAGTGGGGAAACAACTGTCCTTATCTCATGGGGTTGTGGGAACAGTTTCATAAGATCACAGATATCAAGTGCACAGCAAGGTATTTCTGCATACAGCCCACCACGAAAGTGTCCAACAAATGCAAACCACGCCCCCTCCGAAAGAAATTGCCTATAGGTAGCAAACAGCACACAGGTATGAGCCTGGCATCTCACACACTGGATGCAGCCCTCTAGCTGCTTGGAAGGCATATTTTTCTTTTTAGCTAATTTTTTTTCCCCCAATTCTGCGGGTTGAACCCAGGGCCTTGTACACGGCAGGCAACTACTCTACCACTAAGCTATACCCCCAGTCTTCTTATTTATTTAATTTATTTATTTATTTTTATTATAAGACACGGTCCCAAAATAAATAAGTTGTCCAGCTGGGCTCAAACTCGTGAGCCTCCTGCTTCAGCCTCCTGAGTAGCTCGGATTGCAGCTGGGACTGCAGCTGGGATTGTAGCTGGGATTGCACCATTCATGTCCAGCTGCTCTGTTAACTAAGTTTGAAAGTCACTAGACAGAGCCCTCTCTTCAATTTGCGGGATTCCTTATCCTTCCCACAAGTGACAAAGCGAACCTGTTTTCCGGGAAAAGATCAGCCTGTCCCATGAAGGTATCTGAACCTGCAACTACTGTAGAACACTGTTCTGAGCAACACACATTCTATAACCCTTGGAAGAGCAGGCTTCTTTTCTCAGTATAACCTCGTGCCCTGGCCAAGGATGCCTCTACCCTACCAGTTTCCTAGGAACAAGCGTTAACAGAGCCTGCAACTTGGACCCAGGACTATTGCTGGTCTGCAGTGGCCTTGATCTAGTAGATGGGGCCATCTCACCAAGCCTGGTGGCTAAAGCCCAAGAAGAGACACATTTTGACTTCTGCTGGGTCTTCATCAGCAAGCCTTGTCCCAACCAGGGTCAACGAGCAAGGTCCCTTGTCCCTGACTCTGTCACAACCCCCTCCAGCATCTTTGACCTTGCCCCTCCCTACCCCCTACCCCAAGCAGGACAGAAGGCCCAGGATGCGAGCAGCTTCCCAGCGGG